AAAAAAAAAAAAAAAAAAAAAAAAAAAAAAAAAAAAAAAAAAAAAAAAAAAAAAAAAAAAAAAAAAAAAAAAAAAAAAAAAAAAAAAAAAAAAAAAAAAAAAAAAAAAAAAAAAAAAAAAAAAATCTTATACTTCTGCTCGATTGACATACGCGATTAAAAATGAAAACTTTTTGATGGTATAATTCTTGGTCTAAACAAATCTACTTGCTCATGTCATTTCACGTCTATTAGTAATTTAAAAAACACATTTAAAATGTTGGTAGACGTAAACAACAGTAAATCAGGATTATTTTTAAATTGTGGTGTGCCACGGAAATCTGAGTAGGATCTATGTGTGCATCGGAAATCTGAAAAGCGTCTAGGTGTGCCACGGAAATCTGAATAGGATCTAGGTGTGCATCGGAAATCTGAGAACCGTCTAGGTGTGCCACGGAAATCTGAAAAGCGTCTTGGTGTGCCGCGGAAATCTGAGAAGCGTCTAGAGGTGCCGTGGAAATCTGAGAAGCGTCTATAGGTGTGCCACGGAAATCTGAGAATGATCTATGTGTGCAGTGAAAATCTGAGAAGCGTCTAGGTGTGCCGCTGAAATCTGACATTTTGGCTAGCTACACAGCTAGCCAAAATATTACTTGAAGTTTTATTATAAATGAGGAAGTTTTTGTGATTTTAAAATTTGTTTTGTATAAAAAACGGGACATTTAGGCGTCCCGAGAGACTTTTTCGGAACAACGGGTACCATCATGAAAAAACGGGACAATCCCGTTTTTACGGAACGTTTGGTCACGCTAGTCTAGGTGTGCCGCAGAAATCTGAGCAGGATCTGTGTGTGTAGCGGAAATCTGAGAAGCGTCTAGGTGTGCCATGTAAATCTGAGAAGCGTCTAGGTGTATCATGTAAATCTAAGAAGCGTCTGGTGTGCCGTGGAAATCTGAGATGCGTCTAGGTGTGCCGTGGAAATCTGAGAAGGATCTGTGTGTGCAGCGGAAATCTGAGAAGCGTCTAGGTGTGCCATGGAAATCTGAGAAGCGACTAGAGGTGCCGTGGAAATCTGAGAAGCGTGTATAGGTGTTCCATGGAAATCTGAGAAGCGTGTATAGGTGTGCCATGGAAATCTGAGAAGCGTCTAGAGGTGCCGTGGAAATCTGAGAAGCGTCTATAGGTGTGCCATGGAAATCTGAGAAGCGTCTAGAGGTGCCGTGGAAATCTGAGAAGCGTCTATAGGTGTGCCATGGAAATCTGAGAAGCGTCTATGGGTGTGCCATGGAAATCTGAGAAGCGTCTATAGGTATGCCATGGAAATCTGAGAAGCGTCTAGAGGTGCCGTGGAAATCTGAGAAGCGTCTAGAGGTGCCGTGGAAATCTGAGAAGCGTCTATAGGTGTGCAATGGAAATCTGAGAACCCATTTACCCAGAAGAGCATTGACAGGTTGGAGGCGGTCCAGCGACGAGCAGCACGTTTTGTCCTAAACCGCTACAGGAATACCTCTAGTGTTGGCAGCATGCTAGAAACACTAGGCTGGTCACCATTGGAGAAACGACGACGACAATCCAGACTCTCCATGATGTACAAGATAAATAATGGGCTGGTCCACTGTTCCAGTATTAAACAGAAACTCGTCCCTCTCCCCCATAGACAGCGACGAGGCCATGACAGGCAATTCAGGCTCATACCAGCAAGAAGCCAGTAAAGGAGCTGCTCATTCCTGCCCAAGACAATCAGGGACTGGAACCATCTTTCAAAAGGAACAGTTGAGGCGACAACACTAGACACATTTGTGTCTATTGCCTTAAGCCTTCAAACCCCTAGTGCATAATCACCACCAGTAACAGAAACATTGCAAATCCCATCTACATGCATAGGAGCCAAATGATCAATAAATTGATCGTGGGCCCTTAAGATATAGAAGAAGAAGAGAAGTGAGGGGTTGAGATTAAAATAAAATAAACTTGGAATCAAATGAATTATAATTAAATGGACTATGATTATATGTTTGTAAACTTACTTCTTCAGTTTAACTAAAATAAACTACCACAAATGGCATCCGAATAGAGTTGAGTCAAAGGGACCCGGGAATAGCGGCGCTGCGTGTCCGGGTCCATTTTGACTAAATGCTATTTGGATGTCATTTTGTTTTAATTTATTTTAGTTAAACTGAAGAAGTAAGTTTACAAAAATAGTCCAATCAATTATCTTACTTCTCATAATTGACACTTAGTAAGTGCTATTTCTTATTTTTACTTTTAGACCGTGTTTCTTCTGTTGTTTCGTTCGCTGGCGAAGGCTTTCGTTGTTTTGTTACGTTTCTTTTTTCAGGTTTAACCCTACTCTGTTTTACTCATTTTATATCGTTTCACAATACAAACTTTTAAGTTGCCCGAAAATGTCACACCTCCATATAATATAAAGACAAAATAACGCCTTG